AACATGTCATTTGATTTCTTTCTTGAGTCTGGTATGGCTTGATGGTTAGGGCGCTGGACTAGCAATCTGAGGGTCGGAGGTTCGAAACCCATCACCGAACATGTTCTCTCTTTTAGTGGCAAAGATAAGCCCAAAAGTTGGCGGTGGGCGTTGTAAGTTAGAGACGGCAAATAATCCTTGTGTGAATACCCGAGTCAAACAAACCTTTGTGATGACCTGTTTTTCAAACAAATAAGCCCAAAATAACAAGGTTTCAAAATTAAAATGTCTCAATGACACCAAATATTTAGAATATGAGTTTCCGGAGTTGGTTTCAAAAACTGGGATTTAACAAAATCAGAAGATGTGATTTTTTTTTCACTGTAGATATTTGTGGAGATATTGAAATTGTTCCAAACTAGTCTTACTTTCATCCACGGAGTTGGTTTCAAAAACTGGGATTTAACAAAATCAGAAGATGTGATTTTTTTTCACTGTAGATATTTGTGGAGATATTGAAATTGTTCCAAACTAGTCTTACTTTCATCCATAGACGGGGGTAAGAGGGGCAGATGCCCCACTGGTTTTTCTGTAGTATACACACGACATTCACAATGATTAAATCAAACGTTTTCTTTGTCTTCCTCCGCCACACGTATTTTGGTCCCAAGCCTTCAGTCAACTTTTAGTGATGACTTCCAAGACTTTCACTAACATCAATCAATTCAATTGAGAAAAAAATATATAAACTCTACAAGTTTCAAACCTGGATATGGCTGTACCTCGTGCTTAGTGACATACCCGAAATCCGTTTGGATTCATCCAAGAATCTTCAATGAAGTGCTAAATTAAATACTATTAAAGCAGGAAGCGATCCTACAATAGCGTCTTACAACTGACAGTTCACTAATTTTTACTTGTACGTTTGTTAATTTCAAAAGTCTCATTATTTGTGAGTTAATATGAACCATATTTGTATAAAGCTGGTGTAACTACTGCCTGTTACATTCCTTTCAGAACAATGACAACCAGCTATCTATTGAGGAGTTTAGAGAAGGATCAAAGAAAGACCCGAAAATTGTTCAGGCACTTTCACTTTACGCTCCGTAGCGCCATCTATCAAAGCACCGCGCAAACTATTTCTATGAATAGATCTTACACCATTACGTCGCATTCTCGTCAAAGTAAATGTTATTATTATTCACACTGAGAGCTTTGTTCTAAATCCATTAAATAATACTTGTCGTTCAGCTCTTATTTCCGTAGTATACTAGTTTATTTTACTAGTTTAAATATATATTCTCCGCTACCTTTCATCTTTTATGGTCTTAATTTGAATAATTACAGTAATTCTTCTAACGACACGGTTGATTTTAATATTGAAATTCCATTTCGAGAAAGTAGTTTCTCTTAAACTTATTAAATTCTTTTTGTGTATTCTGACATTTGAGGCCTAAAATTCATTACAAAATTAAATAAAAAGCTCAACTATTAATTTCCTAGTGGCATCTAAAACGCCATTTTTAAAATTCCACCATCTCAATAAAATACTACGTCACGATTTACCATCCGACTGTGAGTGACGTATTACCCTAAAATGTAAAGCAAATACTGGAAAATAAAGTTGTTATAAAAATAGTGTTTCATATTTATGAATTATTATTTCAAATACAAATATACAATGTGTTTAATGTTACTCGCCCCATCAACTAGCAATATTCGGGGAGTTTTCCTCTCAATGAAATTTTAAACATGGTTAATTATTAAACTAGACCACCGAGAGAGGGCACTAGTTTTGTAGTTCGTACTCAAATAAAAATTATTCATTACAGAATTTGACTGACGCGATTTTGTTGAAAACATTGATCGCGTAAAAAATTAAAATATTCACAGTTAAGGCCTAAAAATGTTTGAATAATCCGTTCTAAAAATTTAAGAGAACGAAGAGCTGTGGATCAGAATTTAAAAAAATAAAAATCAAGTTAGATTACTACAACAACAACCTGAATGAATGTTTATTTTTTAAGTTAATAATAAAGCTTTTTTCCGGTAAAATTTTTTTCTGACTTCTGTGTGTTCGAAAACAATTCTTAATACATTATTGTTATATAATGGTTGCTATAGCAATGACCTCAATAATCACAGACGGGAAGGGAATTCATGCACGATCGCCTTTTTGAAAATAAATGCATTAACTTCTAACAGAAATAACATCTGATCGCGTCGTTGTTTCAGACGTCGCCCCTTTTGTTGTTCATATTTGATCTTTGTGAAACAGAACGATCCGTGGTGATGTTTTATTCATGAGGAGCTCATAGTATGTCATTTATTATGCTAGTCGACAAACGATGATGCTGCCATCTATAATTCTATAATCATTAATCTAAACTCCATTACTTCTGACAGAACAGTTCGGACATAAGAAAAACGAAGTTATTGAGTTACAAGAAAAACCTTTCGGTATGAGTGATATAATCAGCTTAGTGCACTAATGGAAATCACAATAAAAAATATTTTCTGTTCTACTGGATCATGAAGAAAATCTAAGACAAGTCAGAGAGGATATTAATAACATATAAAACCGATATTACTTCAACGTTAAACATGTAGAACGATTTAATATAGATAAAGTAAATTAATATCATATAAAACCGATATTACTTCAACGTTAAACATGTAGAACGATTTAATATAGATAAAGTAAATTAATATCATATAAAACCGATATTACTTCAACGTTAAACATGTAGAACGATTTAATATAGATAAAGTAAATTAATATCATATAAAACCGATATTACTTCAACGTTAAACATGTAGAACGATTTAAT